TCCAAGAAACATTTCCTAATTCTTTTTCTTTGAACTCTCTCTTCCCTCCTCCAGAGAAAAGCCTTAAAAACTCTGAAGTTACTCTAGATCCGAGCTTGAACATCAACTCTAGAAAATCGTTGATGAGTATTTTAGAGCTTAACTCTTCATTCTCATCTCTATTTTCTATGTTTTCTCTCTTCTCAAAGAGTACTCTTCTCTATAATATATAGTAAAATCTTAGCTTGTTGAACCACCTTTTCCACTAACTTCACCATTTAACTTGTCCACTGAAGTAACGAGGGCTCTGTCTCATTGCTGAAAACATGAAATTTTTGTACTCATGAAAATGTGTGGTGATGTGTGATTGTGAATATATATTATATTGAAATGTGTTTTCTATACATTGATGATCTGAATGACATATGTTTTGAGAATATATGTATGTATATTATGGATTGAGTCCGGAGGTGACCAACTTCTGGTAATGAATGATTGATATATGATAAAGTTAAAGAAAAGTATGAATAGTTCAGAGATACACTAAGAGTGTGAAAAATGGAGATAATTTTAGAAATCTTAGAAAAATGAGGGTGGTAGATGTTCTTCTTGAATTGCGCATACAAATAAGAGTAAGAGCACCACATCCTTTATGCTCATTTCCTGACCTAAACTTCTGACCAATGTTTTGCTAAAAGGAGTTAGGTCGACGCACGTTGTGTTTGTGTAGATGCGGCTATCCAACAACTATCTATGCTAAGGAAGACTTCAAGGGATCCCAGGAACAGTGAAAGTTTAAAAAGAGAAATTCAAGAATTAATAGAAAAGAAATGTGATAAGTCGAATAACTAATAATTATTATATGCATATGAACATGAATTGTATTGTCTGATGGATTAATGTTTTATCCTTGTTTATATTGTTTGATTGAATTGTGAATTCATGTTTGGTAATGAGAAAAAAGGCTCATCCTTACAAAACATTTCAAGGAATAAGTTGACAGATCCCTAGAGACTTGTGAGATTTTTGGAGTCGCTTATTAGTAGTAGACCAGATCAAGTATGTAGGGAATGACAATAGTTGTGCCATTGTAGCTTTATTGTAAATAGTAATGATAACTCAGGTATTATATTTACCTTAGAAATGATAATAGGATACAATGTACCTTTTGATTACCCTAGCAGTGGTAGGAACCGCCATACATTGTGCCTTTCTCTCTATATGAGAGAGAGAGAGGTTTGGTCAAACCGTCGAATGCATGGAATTATGTTTATAGTTTTTTGGATCATAACCAATATGGAAGACCAAGTTATTTTATCGTAAAGCGAATCACAGGCATTGAAGTAGTAGCGGATGTGGGTGATCTTGGTGAAGATTGTAACACTCCTAATTTTGTAATATTAATTATTGTTAATTATATAAATCTAAATGTATACATATGTGTGTATTTTTGGATATATGTTGTGAATATGTATATATATATATATATATATATATATATATGTATATGTATGCATGATTAGTTGGGCTGAAAATAGGCGGAGTGCCTAAGTGCAGGGTGTAATTCTGGGCTATTCTCGTTGCAGCGAGAGAATTCTCGCTGTAGTGAGAGGGCCTTGGGAGGAAGAACTGAAACTGTTACCTTCTTGCTGTAGCGAGAGAACGACAGTTTGAGATGCATTTCTGGGTACAGTCTCGTTGTAGCGAGAGGGTCTCAACTAGAAGGGATTTAAAGGGTGTAGTTTTATTTGAGATTTTCGCTGCAGCGAGAATATATCGCTGTAGCGAGAGTGTCGCGACTAGAAGGGATTTAAAGGGGTTAGGGTTCGGGGAGATTTCGTTTCTCCCTTCTCCTTCAAAATTCCTTTGATCCCTTCACTCCCAAACCTTATTCTACTGATTACATTGTCTCCAAAGCCGTTCGGGAGCTTGATTGAAGGTTAAATTCGTGTGAAAAACGCTTGGAGGTGAGTTTTAATGGTTAGGGTTTTAGTTTTTCATCCCTTTTCTCTGTTTTGTGGTTTCCCTGGGTTCTCATGGAGTTTCTCCATGTGTTTAGGACGAAATCCGTGAAGGGGAGCACTTCTTGGTGGATGTAGCGTGTGGGACGTCGATCTGAGGTAAGGGGGGACTCTATCCTACTCTTTTATGCATAAATTGTTATTATTTTGCTGAATATTGTGTTGTGGCTGAGTTAGTGGGTTAGAAATTTCTGAGAAATGTAATGTGGGCCATGTGCCGTGATGTGTGAACATTATGTGTGTTGACCCGAAATTGATGGATTGTATGTAAATGTTGTATGGTAGAATGAGGGCATGTATGCCGAGTGCTGTGAATGGGTATGGGCACTTGTGCCGTATATTTGAATGAATATTGTGAAAATGTGGGCCCAAGGGCCGTGTAATATGAACGATCATTGTAGGCTATGTGTCGTGTGTTGTGAAATGGAATGTGGGCTATGTGCCGTGTGTAAGCATAATTACTGCATGCGTGAATAAAATATGTGTGAATGAGCGTATTAGCGCCATTGTAATGTGCTGTGAATGGTTCAGCGATACACTAGTGGTGTGGAAGATGAGGACGGTAGAAATACCTTGGGGAAAAAGGAGTGGTGGTGACACCGACTGCGGAACAGGTGCACCACGAGCCACACACTATCTTCTTGACTAGACCTCTGACCATTATCTTTGCTGAGCGACCCGTGACTACCCACGTAATATCCGTGAGGCGGGGGTAACCGGCGGCCATTCATAGTGTAAATCAATGATCACAGTGCCACAATGAGTGTGGCTGATGTGCGTATGCACGAGGTTTGTGTATTGTACTTATGGATGTGAAATGTTGTCGATGCCGCCGAGCTGTGTGATAATGCTGTCTGTGATAGTATTTGTTTAATCTATTGGAAATGTGCTGGAGGTGAGACTCTATGTTGACTGTGTGTTTTTGGGTAGTGTAGAGTACTCACCCTTACATTCATTTTTCAGATAATCAAGACGATCAGCACCGGACCCAGTGAAAGGGTAGATGGAACTGCTATAGGACTTAGGATATTATTTTGAAAACTGTTGTTTTTAAATAAGTCCTGTAGCAACTGTTTGATGTAAATTGTAACCCCTTTGTTTATTTGAAATGTTTGATGAAATTTGGATTAAAAATGGAAGTTTCATTATTTCAAAAATTTGCGAAATTTCTTATTTATTGAAATTAAATTTAAGGTGCTACAAAAATGAAGATCTATCCCTAGAGGAATTAGCAGAGATAGATGGGTGGTTTGGAGATGATGATTAATATCGTCTTTAGTCTTTTTGGTGGATATACTACTTATTAGGACTTGTTGTATTTTGTATTTTGTAAATGATGTAGATGAGTCCTAATGTATTTTGAAATTATATTTTATAAATATTAAACTCTTGTACATTAACGAAAACAATGCATGTGAATGTTTTTTTTCAGCTTTTCACTTAAATTTATTTATTTTAATTGCTTTATTAATGAAAAATTTTACCAATATGAGTAATTTAAATGAAAGTTTTACATTTTTTGCACTTTGCATTATGAATGCAAGCAAGCTTTAATTTAATTTTCTCTTTTCAATGTAAACTTATTTCCTTAACTTCATAAATAAATAAGGATCTTGCAATAAACTTATAATTTTTAACTGTAAAACTAGTTGAAACTTATAGATATATAAGTAGTTTATAAAATTAATTTGTTTAATAAATTATTTAAACAATTGATTGATTTATGTTAAATAATTTAAAAAGACATATAACATTAAAATTAGACATAATTTATTTTAATACATCTTATTAATAAAATTGACATTATTGATTCAAACAAAAACTTGAATTTATTTTTAAAATTATTAATTTAAACATATTATATCAATAAGGATTACATAAATTAATTTAAATTATTTATTTTTATAATTTATTTTTAAATTTTAAATATTATTATTTACTTAATTTATTTTTATTTAATAAAATATACTATTAATTATTAATAATAAAAATATTATCATGTTATTAAATATCTATATACAATATAAAATTCTAATGTTATAAAAGATAAAAGTGAATAGTAAAAAAAGAAAAAAAATAAAAGCAAATATTTTTCATATTTATACGTCACTAAAGTTTAATATTAAACAATTTAATTAATTAAAAGATCAGCAAATTGACAACAAATGTTAATATAAGAAATACTTTTTAATATAAAATATATTCAGATAAAAGAAAAAAGAAAGCATATAAAAAAATAGATAAAAAAAACATGAAAAGGAGTACTATGAAAATAGAGAATAAAATGACAATAAAATTAATGTATTAAAATTTTGATCGTGTAAAGGATAAAACTATCTTTAAAAAAATTAAAAAATAAAAATATATATAAGAAATAATTTTTTTATACTAGTGTAAATTTAAAAATTTTTATACATCTTTTCTTTAACCCTAAACTAATGATCAATAAAATAATAAATTATAACTCATTAGATGTAAATTTTATAAAAAAACTTAAATTAAGTGTAAAAGTTTTTAAACTTATACTAGTATAAGAAGATTCAGCATATATATATATAAAAGCAAATAAATCTACTTAACAATTCCAAAAAAATATTTTTTTCAATTATGAACAAACTTTTTACCTTTCAACTCACTTATTAACTAATTTAACCGAATGTAGTATATATCTTTAACACAAGCTTCCCTTGAAATTCTTATTCCCTCAATCTTCACCCCACTGAATCAATTAGCCCTTGTTGTTTTGCATACTTACGTTTAAATAAACACTGCATTATTTGTTATTTTCCCAAACTCGTTATAGTCCAAAAATGAAATTTCCTTATCTCCAACAAGAGTTTATTATAATTTATAAACACCATGTTAATATTATATTTAGCAATTATTAGCTGTTACGTTTGCAAACTTTGCCTTCAAATTTTACTGGGAAAGTTACCTTGTTTCCCCCTATAAAACCGAAGGTTTTGTTTTCTGTTCCATTCAAAACAAGGCAAAAGCAAAGGGGGACTTTACAAAGAGGCAAAGCAATGAGGCCACCAAGTGCTACCCTTCACTTTCTCCTGCAAATTCTTCTTGTATGTATACTGCACAGACCCAGCTTTGCAGCGAAAAAGGTGAGACATTGCAATCTGCAACCTTAGAAAGATAAAACTAGAAAAAAACACTAATCCTTTGTGGTTTTAGTCTTATGTTGTGTACTTAGGAGCCCACTCACATGGCCCAGACTTGTCTTCATTAGACTTCAATCGCGTGACACAGTCCCACTACGAGTTTCTGGGATCTTTCTTGGGAAGGTATGGGACAGAACAACTATAGCATCTTATATTAACCAAGAGGCATTATTTTACCTATTAAAATTTTTTGAGTTTGTTTCCATGTAGTTCTAACTCTGCCAAAGAGTCTATCTTTTACTCATACACAAGGCACATCAATGGTTTTGCTGCAACTTTGGAAGAAAAAGTGGCTGCTGAGATTGCTAGTAAGAACCTTCATCTCTGTTTTCTCTTCTCTGTTCCTCCTTTCCCTCGTTGTGTGCCTAACCATTTTGTCATTTTTGCTTGTAGAGCATCCAAAGGTATTGTCAGTGTTCGTGAATAGTGGAAGAAAGCTACACACCACTCGATCATGGGGATTCATGGGGCTGGAGAATAATGGGATGATCCCATCCAACTCAATCTGGAAAAAAGCCCGATTCGGTGAAGGTGTGATCATAGGAAACTTAGATACAGGTGAGCTCTTGATTTTCTTCTCAAAGAGGTCATCAACATCTTGCAATCGATGGCTTTAATTTACTTGTATAATTATTCTAATATAGATCGTTGACTGATATACACATGTTTATCTCGTTATATCTCTACTCCCCACCAACTATGGTGTTTCCAGAATCTGATAATTTCAAAAAGGTTTTTATCCGATTAGTATATTATTAATTTGAATCTTGCCGTCAATTAGTAGAAAAGACAAACTCCTTTCTGTACCCAACGTTTGAACGTTCAATCTTAAAGAAATAGGTTAATGGCTTTCATCTATTGCTTCTACCTCTTAATATTTTTAATACTCGTTAATTTTTAAGAAAAAAGTTATTTTTCTTCTTCTATCTTTAAAAAATTGCAAAATATTTCAGTTAGATTACAGTGAATAGAATAGAGTAAGGTGGTGCGATAAGGGTAGCCGACTTTCTGTTGTGGGCAATTGGGCATTTTGCCATTTGTTTGTATTAGAGTATCATTCAATATAAAATTTATATATAACATGTAAGTTATTGTTTTGATAATATTTAATTTAAAAACCATCAAAACAAAATGAAAAGTTATTTAATATTTTAATTAGTTAATAGTAAAAGAGAAAGATATATATTATGAAGTTTAGCCTATGCATATGTTGAAAGCCATAGGGTTGGTCATAAATAATAGTTTGATAGGATAAAAACTCTATGTTACGACTTTGTGTTCATTGGGATATGAATAAACTAAAAGGGGGGGGTGGGGTTATTCTAAGTGAGGTGGGGCTATGATGGATTATGAGTGAGGCAAATAGAAGGTGGGGATAGTCCAAGGAAGGAATAATAGGAAAAGTATAATGTTAATGCACTAAGTTGAGATTGAAAATGGTCCGAAACTTGAGTGTGAAAAGTAGGTGGGGGCAATGAGAGGAAAAGAGGAGCATATTTGGGAGATGAAAGGATATATGGATGAGGGAGAGAGAGAGGGAGAGAGAGAATAATATGCTTTGAAAAGAGTCCTCACTTTTGGTGTGACCGCATTGCGTGTAGGGGTTTGGCCTGAATCAAAGAGCTTTAGTGAGGAGGGATTGGGACCAATTCCATCAAAGTGGAGAGGAATCTGTGATAACAAACTTGATCCTGCTTTTCGCTGCAACAGGTATCATCTCCGCTACACTTCATTCCGATATAAATTAACTAAATAAATATTTCCCTTTCCTTCTTTTATATTCAAACCTTCTCTTAACATCTAAACATTTAGGATATCATTTTTTATTCATTTTAATGATTTAATTATGAATTTGATTCCTGTATTTTATTTTTTTTAGTTCTTTTAATTTTTATTTTATTTTATTTTAGTATGTATTTCACATGGTGTGATTCAATAAAAATTAACATATATTACATTAAGTTAATGATAAATAATTTTTTAAGTATTAATAACTTTGTAGTGAAAATTTAATTTTTTTCTAAAATATAATTATTTAACATTTTTTATTGAATTCATTTGTTATAAATTACAAATGTTGTCTTAAAAGAAATTTATTATTATATTTTTATAATTTTTTATTTTTAGTTTCTTTAATAAAATAAAAAATTAATAAGTAATAATTTTTCAGTTCATCATGTTAACTACAGGAATTAACAATAAAAATTTATAAAAATAAAAAATATAAATTTTGTTAAAATACAGAAAAAGATCATACTTAAGTAAGCCATAAATATTTCATAAATTCTTGTCGTCCTTTGCCTAAAAATACATACCATTTTTTAAATTAGTACTCTTTATTCTTAAAAATATTAATATATTTTTTAATATATTCTTTTTAATACATTTTTATGGACTAAAACTTATTAAAAATTATAAAAAAATATATAAAACTGACTTCCAATTTTAATTAATAATTAAAAATATATTCTAAGTCAATCATTTGGTGATTATTACTAAAGGGATAAGTACATTCCATTGAAAGCAGCATTTTCAGACTTTCTTTTTGTTTCCTGATTCCTTTTGTACAAAAGAAAGTGAAGCGGATATGGTGTCCCGCGAGTCCCATGGCTCAAACTTTTTGTTTCGACGAGTTAAAGAAATATTAAAATATATTCAAATAATTTATTTTTAATTTATACGTAACTATAATGATTTTTCATTATTTTATTATTTTAAATATATTTAATTACTAGTAAATGCTAAATATTTATTTACCTTCAAATTTTAATGAATATAATTGTGTTAAAAATCTTCCGGCTTTGTTTTGATAGAAAATTGTAGGTTTAGAAGGAAAAGAAATTGAAAAAAATTAGCTTCCTTAATTTGAACAGTTTGTCATATCGTCAGTTGCAAGAAAAAGTACTAAATATACTTTAACTTCTTTTTTTCATGAGCCATGATCATTTTCTGTGATATGAGACCAGAAGCTGTAATTTTTGTTTTACCCTTTTTTATTGTTCTTTTGGAAAAATAATTAAAATATATTATAATAGAAAAAAATTATATTTTGTATATAAAATAATATAATAAATATTCTAAAATAAATTTAAATACAGTTGTAAATATTAAAAGAAAGTTTCTTTATTTAAAAATAAACCTAATATTTTATTCTGACTCGTTCTTTTTAATTTGTAACTATATTATTTATCTTTTATTTTCAATTAATTCAAATTATATATATATATATATATATATATATATATATATTCGTAAAATATTAGAATAAACTAAAATTACTAGCATAACATTCTCATAAACGTTAACTACTTAGTATGCATATAATGTTTATGAAATAATGTCAACAGTACACTTAAATTACTAAAATATTACATTAAATCAATAATAATGTTTATAAAAAAATTATTATGATAAATTATATAAAAAATTATAAAATAAACTGAAAATAACGTATAAGAATATAATCTTTTATAAATTCATCTAAATGCCTCACTAAGAATATTTCGAAAAACTTGCTCAAGTAGGTCATGGTTTAGATTTCTCTCTCATTGTTGAGTAGAAGAATAATTTTTATTAAAAAATGTGAATATAACTAATTATGAAAAATAATATTAGGAAATGTATTACATGTTTTACAAGAAAAGAATTATTAAATAATATATACATGATATAAGGAAAATGGGAGGGTGAATGCAGGAAACTAATTGGGGCGAGGTACTTCAACAAAGGGTACGGAGCTGTGGCGGGTCCACTGAGGAGGTCCTTTCAGTCACCTAGAGACAAGGAGGGGCATGGGTCCCACACATTATCAACGGCTGGTGGGAACAGGGTGCCCGGGGTCAGCGTGTTCGGGCAGGGCTATGGAACGGCGAGCGGTGGCTCACCCAAAGCGCGTGTGGCAGCGTACAAGGTTTGTTGGCCCCCCATTGGTGGTGATGAGTGTTTCGATGCTGACATTTTGGCAGGTTTTGACATGGCCATCCATGATGGTGTCGACGTCTTGTCTGTGTCATTGGGTGGCTCTGCCTCTTCCTTTTTCAATGACAGTGTTGCCATTGGAGCCTTCCATGCTGCCAAACACGGCATTCTGGTTGTTTGCTCTGCAGGTAATGGTGGGCCTTCTGATGCCACCGTCGAAAACCTTGCACCTTGGGTTATAACCGTTGCTGCCAGCACCATGGATAGAGAGTTCCCCAGTTACGTTATCCTTGGTAACAGGATCAGCTTCAAGGTTTGTCTCAATCCTCACGTGTGTGTGTGTGTGATGAAAAATATGTTGTTCACTTTTTTCTCTGTCTTCTAGAAAATAGGAGATGAGTTCAAGAACACCACATAACCTGTAGTAAAGCATCGTGTGAGGGGGAAACAATGCCTTGTCTTAGTTGAGGCCTTGTTATAGTGAGGTATATATATGAGTGGTCCAACCAACCGCTAATACTAATGATTTTTAACGATTTCTTCCTTTGCCCATCCCAACTAATGATTCTATTCCTTGGGAAACATTGATAGCTTTGCTCCCAATAAACCACTCTCAAAGATAAAATATTGTTCATACTTTAGTTGACAAAGAAAAATTCCTTTGGCCTATCTCCCTACCAGTCTGCCCACAATGATTGCTAGTTTTTCCCTTTTTCCTTCACACGAACAGTGGCTGCCTTTGCTCCCTCCTGCACAGTGAAGCCTACTTCATCACCTCGTTCATCTTTTCCTTTGGCTATATGGCGCTCTTCTTGTATGATCATTGCATACACTCGGTATAAGCATGTGTTAAAGTTCATCAAACACGAATATAGCAAATAATTGTAAAGAACAGAAGAAATCAGAAATGAGTAATGTAAATGTATATGAAATGTATGATATATGAAATAAGGTATACAACTAGCACTCTCTCTCAATTCACAAAGCCAAGAGCCTCCCTCAGCCTCCCTAATCATTTTCTTCCATAACTAACTTCTCTCTCTTCCTTTCCTATATAACTGACTCCCTTTACACATGTGCCGCCTTTACCTTCCTAGTGTACACACGCCGGAGTTTGGGCCTTTCTACTTGACTCACTAATGGGCCCATATCAGTCACCCAAATACTGTCTTCTCCTTCAAACTCAATCTTGTCCTCAAGACCGAAATCTGGGAATTGAATTCGAATTAGAAACTCATCTTCCCATGTAGGCGCTTCACTTGGTTTTCCTTTCCAATGAATCAACAGCTGCTGAATTCTGTCACCTTGCTTAGTTAACACTCTACTTGCTAACACAGCTTTTGGAGCATAATGCTCATTCACTTCCACTTCCAAAATGGTCCAAAATAACGTGGTGACAACTTTTGATCAAATAAAGGAGAGCCAAGTTTCGTAGATAGGGGGAATTAACAGGCTTGGCACCCAACCTGCACAAGAGAGGAGCTCAAGAGCATACTTCCTTTGACTTAAGAATATACCTTTGGATGATCGAGCAATTCAAGGCCAAGAAAAAACTTGAGCTCACCAAGGTCTATTATCTTAAAATTTTCATTTAGAAAGTCTTTCACATGTTCTCTTTCATCAATATTGCTCCTTGTTAGAATAACATTATCAACACCAGTAAGGCAGTGAATCCATTTGATGTGTGCTTGATGAAGAGTGTGTGATCCAAAGGACATTGTATGAAATTGAGAGATTAAAGAGCCTTTGAGAGAGTACCAAAGCATTGTCTATTGGCTTAATGCCATACAAAGACCTTCTAGCAGACAAACTTCATTTGGCTAGGGAGAAGCAAAACCTTGTGGGACAGTCATGTATACTTCATCTAAATCACCATGAAGAAAAGCATTGTCCACATCTAGTTGATGAAGATGCCAATGTTTAGCAGCTGCGATTGAGATGAGAAGTCTAAGAGTAGTCATTCTTGCTGTAGGAGAAAAGGTGTTAAAAAATCAAGTCATTCCAATTGTGTGTATCCTTTCACAACAAGCTAGACTTTTTATCTATCGACAGATCCATTTGGCTTGTGTTTAAGTTTGTAAACTCATTTACAACCTATAGGTGTTTTCCCTTATGGTAGGTCAACAAGAACCTAGGTGTTGTTTCTTTCAAGAGCAGTGATTTTCCACTTGCATAGCTTTTTTCCAATTTGCATCCTTAACAACTTGAAAGTAGTTTCCTAGTTCAGTGATCATGGACATATTGGCAACAAAGTTTTGATAGCTATGAGAACACCTATCATAAGACAGTACAAAAGAGAGAGGATGAGTAATAGATGGTTTATGAATTTCACAGGTAGAAGAACATTTTGTCAAGGAGGTCCGCAAGTTGTAGTGATAATCATGTGGATAACTTGGAGTCTACTTGGCTCTGGTGGAGTGTCTAACATATTGTCCTAGCTCTGCAGTCTGTTCATGCTCAATCGTATTCATTCTAGGACCAACAATGTGAGTGTCCTCATTTGTCTGAGTTGAAATTGGAGTATAGTCAATGTCACAAGTGTTTGAATGTATTAGTAGAGAAACACTATTGTTTTGATTGTTAGACTCATGAAGGGAAAATATGTTCATGAAAAATTACATTTCTGGAAATGAACACCTCTCTGGTCTTGAGATTAAACAAGACATAACCTTTTGGTCCTTGTCTGAACCTATGAAGATACACTCCTTTGCTTCAGGGTCAAGTTTGGTTCTGCTGTTTGAGAGTATTGAGGCAAAGCACGAGGAACCAAATACTCTTATCATGGATAAGTTGGGAAGAGAAGAGTATAAAATTTCATAAGGACTTTTATCCTTTAAAACAGGTGCGGTAATCCTATTAATAAGATATGTTGAGTGACCAACAGCATATGACTAGAAGAAACATTTAGGCAAATTAGCTTGAAATAACAGACTTTGCCATGCTTAGAAGATGTTGGTGTTTCCTTTTCACTATAGCATTCTGTTGGGGGCACTCCACTCAAGAGGTCTGCTTTGGTAGCATAAAATTGGTCCATGGTGAACTCAAGGACATTATTAGTTCTAATAGCTTTGACTTTAGCATCAAACTGATTTTCAACTAATGCAAAGAAATTATGAATTAAAGTTTTAACCTTCAACTTATTTTTGAAAAGGTACTCCCAAGTAAAATTGTATTCCTAATGGAATTGCACTGGAAGGATCAACTGGCTCATAATCTTGTTTGCTTCATGTGAAGGGCGAAAGCTTATCAGCTGGAAAACTGGCAGACAAGTTCTACCCGATCATTAAGGCTACAGATGCTAAATTGGCAAGTGCAAGAGTAGAAGATGCGTGAGTATCGAAAAATTGAAGCTCATTATCTATTGTCATCTCTCTTGTTGTGTGAGCATTTACATTCGAAATAATTAATATAGCACTGAATATGGTGAATAAAATTAATAGTTTTGTTAATTTCAATTTTAAAGTTGATTTTAAATATTTAATAGTAATTTTTTATCAAAAAATTATTGACTATATTTTAAATGTTATAAATAGTTTTTATTTTAATACTTTTTTTATGTTTTTAACTACTCTAAATCAGCTCAAAATTTGTGGTTAATATTTCGTTATGTGAAGCCAACTTAATGATGCAGGGTGCTATGTCAAAATGGAACTCTGGATCCCAACAAGGTGAAGGGAAAGATCGTTGTATGCCTTAGAGGGATAAATGCAAGAATGAACAAGGGAGAGCAAGCTTTACAAGCTGGTGCTGTGGGAATGGTCCTTGCTAATGACCAGAATAGTGGGAATGAACTTTTAGCCGATCCTCATGTTCTTCCTGCTACTCATATCAATTTCAATGATGGCCTTGCTGTCTTCAATTACATCAACTCAACCAAGTAAGATATCTCCTACCAATCTAGTCTCCCTTGTTAATAATGCCATGTCTTGAGCTATGACTTCTGTGGCTTTCAACTATACTATGTGGCCATACTATATATATTTTCAATGGTTTTTCATAATATCAACTTTAACACTAATTTAAGTACATAAAGGCAGAAATATTTTATTTAAAAATAATATTTATTACATTAAAAATATATAAAGTGTAAATGCTTTTAAATAAATTTTAGGATTTTATTAATCAGTGCTTTAACAGTGTTGGTTAATGAGTTAATAAATAATAATTTTTAATTAAATATTGTGGTAAAATATATTAAAAATTATGAGAGTGATTATCTTTTTATGTTTTTTAGTAAAAACTATTTTTGATTTTTCAAATTTGCAATTGTACAAAGGTTTTTTCTTTTCCCTAAATCTAGTAGTATTGATTTTTTCCATATATATATGTCTCAAAAGTAAGTGTATGTTAGCTTTTTCTTATTATTATATGCTGCTACACATTTAAATATATTATCTTTTAGGATCATATAAAAAGTCTTGCACAAATAATAAAAATATACCATCCAAGTTGCATATGTTTATATTATAATTTTTTATAAGCTTTAAATTTTTAACATAATAATTTTGTACTTGTAATTTTTTATAGTAAAATGTTTAAGTTATACACACACATAAACATATACAGAGATCATATTACATCTTTATAAGTTATACTTACTTTTATGCCATTAATAATATAGAATATATTTTTTGTCGATCCAACTACTGACTTATAACTATATATTACCTTTATTATTTGTGTTGAATATTTTATTTTCATATATTTCAAATGTATATATTTGATTAAATTTGATACATAAAGATAAAGTACCAAATAGTGTATTACACCTGTTATTAATTAATTTTTTTTAATCGAAAATTACATTAAAAATCAAGAGAGTAATTAATCCTTTTATGTTTAACAATAAAAATATATGTTTAACTTTTAACTAGTACTTTAAAGACTTATTCATTTTTTAAAAAGTGATTATTTTTAGTTTAAAATCAAACCTAAGTTCTCCTATTTTCACTCAAAATATGTAGATTGATATTAAACTTACGACTTTTAGTTAAATAATTACAAGAAACAAGTAGAATTTTCTGTGATTTTACAGTTACTATACTAAGGATCCCAAAAGGATAATCATGAATGTGATATGTTTCTTTGAACATGAGATTGAGTGGTTGGGGTTTATTGGCAGGTTCCCAGTGGCATATATTAAACATCCAGTGACACAATTGCATACTAAGCCAGCTCCTGTGATGGCAGCGTTTTCATCAAAAGGACCAAATAGCATTGTGCCAGAGATCTTAAAGGTATAATATGCCTTGTAATGTGTTGTTGTTGTTGTGATGAGTTGGATATCTAACAAGTCTTTCGTGGAAACACTTAGCCGGATATCACTGCAGCGGGTGTGTCAGTTATAGCGGCCTACACCGAAGCGGAGGGACCAACGAATGAAGAGTTTGACAAGCGCAGGATTCCATACAACTCAGTCTCTGGCACTTCAATGTCTTGCCCTCACATTTCCGGCATTGTTGGACTCTTGAGAACCCTTTATCCTTCATGGACTCCTGCTGCTATTAAATCAGCAATCATGACAACTGGTCAGTGCTTCCATTCATTTCAGATTAAGTCAAATTCATTTTAATTTCTTAAATATGTTATATACATGTATGATCTACTTATTTCATGAGCATTTCTTAATTGTTTTATTATAATGTTTTATCTTTTTTAATTTATTAATTCAATTAAATACTATTATCGAGTATATTAAGTTTATAAAATTTGACTTTCAGCTACAACACTAGATAATGAGGCAGAGTTGCTGCTAAATGTTACTAATGGCCTAGCAACACCATTCAGTTATGGGGCAGGACATGTTCAGCCAAATAGAGCAATGGATCCTGGCCTTGTTTATGACACGACAATAATTGATTACCTAAACTTCTTATGTTCTTTAGGTTACAGTGAAACACAAATCTCAATGTTTACAGGTGGTCCATATCAATGCCACGAGAGATTTAGTCTCTTCAACCTAAATTATCCCTCAATCACAGTACCAAATCTCCATGGGTCAATAACAGTTACAAGGACAATAAAAAATGTTGGTTCTCCAGGAACATACATTGCTCATGTTCAAAACCCAGAAGGAATCACCGTATCTGTGAAGCCAAACATCTTGAAGTTCAAAGCTGTTGGTGAAGAGATCAAGTTTAAAGTATCCTTGAAGGTGATGCAAGGAAAAGCAACAAATAGCTACGTGTTTGGTAAGCTGATATGGTCAGATGGTAAGCATTTTGTTAGGAGTCCAATAGTTGTGAAGGCCCCCTTAACTAGAAATTGAAGACGTTGAAGCAATTCAACTGATTTGCATTTTGAATCGATTGGTGGTGTATTCTAAATTATATCATATAGCTTCTAAATTTGCATTTCCTTAAGAGTTTTGTTACATGGATGATAATTGTGATTCACAAGAGAATTGGAATAACAATAAAAAAAAAATCTATAGTGGCTTTCTTTGAGCATATATTTTAATTAATCTACTTCTGATTTTGCTGACACCAAAATAAATTGTCAATCGAGATAATCAACTAAATAAATCTATATTAAAATGCAAAAAAATAAATAAATACATATTCATATTATAAATATTGTAAATCATTGTATGGAATAAAACAAATTAATAATATATTAAATAATATTTTAACTTTTTAAAAAAATATTTGAATAAATACTTTAATTTAAAACTTAGTATTCCATTAAATTTAAGATGTCGTAAGTTATAAATAAATTTATATAATTTATCCAACAAACAATTAACGGTAATGTAAATTAAATATGGTTAATGCAAAGTGTTGTACTAATAAGAAATGAGTATTTAATAAATTAAATGAGAAATATAATTTAATTTTAATAAATATTTTTAACTTGAACTAAGAGTATATATATATATATATTAACGACCTATAATGTATAAAAGTAAAAAATTCAATATTAGTATTATAAATTGTAGCATTAATAAAATAAAATAATTTTAATTTATTAATATTGACAAATTAATTATCTAATTAATTAAAAAAATAAAAAGAAAAGAATATATTTTATTAATTAATAAAATAAATATTTAATTAAATTGTCACAACCGAGTGGTCGTAACGGTACAACAAAAACATGTTTAAAAAAATTATCTTTTAAAAATTAAAAAATATTTTCTAAAAGAAATTAGAGGAGTCGCTATCAGAGTTTATTTTAAGAAAACCTTGAAATTTTTTTAAAATAATATGATCTTTGAAACCAAAAATGAGTTCGGGAGTCATTGACGTATAGGGAAGGTATTAGTACCCTACAACCTTTTAAAAATGGTCTCAAATTAATTGTGTAAATTTATTTTAATTTTAAAAAATATTTATTTAACCCCAAAATAATAAATGTTGTTATCTTATTTAAAAAGAAAGAATATATTTATTGAAATATTGTTTGGTGTAACGTCCCGAATTTTGTAATATTAATTATTGTTATTTATATAAATATAAATGTATATATATATATATATATATATATATATATATATATATATATATATATATATATATATATATATATATATATATATGTATGCATGACTGAATAGGGCTGAAACAGGCTAAGTGCCTAAGTGCAGGGTGCAATACTGGGCTGTTGTCGCTGCAGCGAGAGGGCCCTGGGAGGAAAGGACCAAAACTGTCGCCTTCTCGCTGTAGCGACAGTTTGTGGTGCATTTCTGGGTGCAGTCTCGCTATAGCGAGATTCTGCAGAAACTAAGGTGCAGTTTTGTCTGATATTTTCGCTGCATCGTGAGGGCGTGTTGCGACCAAAATAGGATTTAAATGGGGTTAGGGTTTGGGGAGGATTATTTCTCCCTCTCCCTTCGAAATCCCTTGGATCCTCTCATACCCAAAGCCCTATTCTACCGATTAATTGCCTCCAAAGCCGTTCGGGAGCTTGATTGAAGGTTGAATTCGTGTGGGGAACGCTTGGAGGTGAATTTTAATGGTTAGGGTTCCGTTTCTCATCCTCTTTTCTCTATTTCTGGGTTTTCTTGGGTTCTCATAGAGTTCTTCCATGTGTTTTAGGCCCAAATCTGTGTTGGGAGCAAGTCCGTGGTCGAATCCGAGTGTGGGTATTCAATCCAAGGTAAGGGAGGACTCTATCCTACTCTTTTGTGCATGAATTGTTGATATTTTGCTAAATATTGTGTTGTGGCTGAATTAGTGGGTAGGAAATTGCTGAAAAATGTAACGTGGGTCACGTGTCGTGATATGTGAACATTATGTGTGTTGATCCAAAATCGATGGATGTGGATTGTATGTAAATGTTGTGTGATAGAATGAGTATAGGCATTTGTACCGTATATTTGAATGAATATTGTGAAAATGTGGGTGTAAGGGCCGTGTAATATGAACGATAATTGTAGCCTGCGTGTCATGTGCTGTGAAATGCAATGTGGGCTGTGTGCCTGTGTAAGCATGATTATTGCATGCGTGAATGGAATATATGTGTGAATGGGCGCATTAGCGCCGTTGTAATGTGCTGTGAATGGTTCATCGATACACTGGGGGTGTGAAAGATGAGGACGGTAGAAATACCTTGGGGAAGAGGGAGTGGTGGTGACACTGACTGTGGAACGGATGCACCACGGGCTACACACTCTCTTCTTGACTAGACCTCTGACCACTACCTTTGCTTAGCGACCCGTGACTGCTCACGTGGTATCTGTGAGGCAGGGGTAACCGACGACTATTCATAGTGTAAATTTGTGATCACAGTGCCACAGTGAGTGTGGCTAGCGTGCATATGCATGGGTTTGTGTATTGTACTTATAGATGTGAAATCCTATCGATGGCGTGAATGCACCAGTGTTGAATTGACATGAGCTGTGTGACTATACTGCCTGTGATTGTGTTTGTTTAATGTAGTGGAAATGTGTTGAAGGTGAGACTTTATGCTGACTGTGTGTTTTTGGGTAGCATAGAGTACTCACCCTTACATTCATTTTTTAGGTAATCAAGACGATCAGCACCAGACTCAGTGAAGGGGTGGATAGAACTGCTATAGGACTTAGAATATTATTTTAAAAACTGTTGTATTTAAATAAGTCTTGTAACATTTGTTTGATGAAATTGTAACTCCCTTTCTTTATTTTGAAATGTTTGACGAAACTTGGATTAGAAATGAAAGTTTTATTATTTAAAATTTTTTGAAAATTCCTTATTTACTAAAATTAAATTTAAAGTATTACATTTGGTATCTTTGCAAAGAGAAAATATATTTTTGAAAATTATTTTGACTTGACGGATTCGGTTTCCGCTCCTACTTATTCCCGGGTGTAATGGGGAACTTAAAGCTACATAGTTCTATCTATAAAAATTATGAAGTTGGTTGATTAAAATTAAGTTTAGTAAAAGAAAATTTATTTTGAAATTAAAATTATTTCCATAAAATCATGGCAAAATTACACTTTTCGTCCCTTAACTTTAGGGTGAAATTTACTTTTGTCCTTTAACTTTTTTTTATTCATTTTTGTCCTCAAAGTATTATTTTTTTCTACATTAGTCCTCTCTGTTAGTTCTGTTACATAACCTAATAGAAACGTCCTACATGGCACTGAGATGACATTAATGGCATTTATTTAATCCAACTTGGATTTTTTAATTTAAAAAATTAAAAATAATGAAGTGACGCTGAGTTGTAACTTCTCTCCTTTCTCCTCCAGCAGCCGCTTTCTCTTTCTAGTAGTTCCCCTCCCCTTCCACAATTTCTCTTTCTCTTTCCTGCAACTTCCCCTCTCCCGTCTCCTTCCTTCTCTCTCTGTTCCATCACCCCTTCCCTTTAACCCAGGAGCTCTATCTTCCTCGCAGTCTTGTCTCCTCCTTCCCACAGTCCCTCTCCGTTTCCTCCTCCGTAACTCGCCCACCCTTTTCCCCAACTCATCAACATTGTCTCCTCCTTCCCACAGTCTCCCTCCGCTCCCCTTCCTCCTCCGTTGTTTCCTTCACCCCTTCCCACAATCCACCAACCTTGTCTCCTCCTTCTCGCAGTCCCCTTCCCCTCCCTTTCCTTACTGCCAACACTATTTACGACGAGAAAATATACTTATCTTACACTTGCAGCCTTGTCTGCCTCCTTTCCCCAAGCTAAATAGAAAATTACCTCCAAAATTTTATTCAAAACATCCATTGAATCACTTGATTTATAGAATTAATTAGCAAAGTACCAACTCATGCCCAATATTAATTATAAATATGATTTAAAAAATACATCTATTATGCTCCCTCTCTCTCTGAGTTTAAAGCTACAACTTTTTACTCTATTGTTTGTTGGATTATTTCATATTTACATCAAACTCCAAATTTCATTTTTTTTTTATGTATAATTCTTTAATTTTTTGTAAAATATGAATCTCTTGTTATTTTGTTATTTATTTGTGTTGCTGAAAATGCTTCACTTGCGAGAAGAAAAAACGAAGGCTGAGAGAGGGGAAAACAAGGTTAGTGGGTTAGAGGGAAGGGATGGCAAAGCTGCGAGAAGAGAGAGAAATAGCTACACAGGGAAATGGAAGTTGTAGGAGGGAAAAATAAGGTTGGTAGATTGGGGGAAAAAGGTGTCGGAGCTGTAAGAACAGAGTGGAAAAGTTGTGAGAAGGAAAAAAAGGGCTGTAAGAGAGGGAGGTAGAGGTGGTGGGTTAGGGATTTGGAAGGAAAAAGGTTGGTGAGCTATGGGAAGATGAGGAAGGAGGGAGAGAGTTGTGTTTTTTAATTATTTTTTAAATAAAAAAGTCCACGATTAAACAAATGGTGTTAAGACACTTCAGCGCCACGTAATATGTTTCTATTAGGTCATGTAATAGAGCTAACAGAGAAGACTAACGTGGGAAAAAAAAAAACAATACTTCGAGGACGAAAATGAATAATAAAAAAAAGTTAGAGGACGAAAGTGAATTTCATCCTAAAGTTAAGGGATGAAAAGTGTAATTTTGCCTAAAATTATAATGTTTAAGATACAAGATAATGCGGTTATACATGTATCCTACGAGAAATAATACAGATAGTAAAGGGAGATCACACAACTATATTGCAAATCGTTAAAATATTTTATTTGTAAATGAAGTATTTGAATTTATACTTAACTTATAATTAATGTTGAAAGAGAATTTAAGATAGCGTAAGCTATATATTTCTTATAATTTTTAGACAATCGAAAGTAATGTAAATCACACATCGATGTTGCAATAATTTGTATGATATAATAAAAAATGGAAAAATGATTAGTTATTTAATGTATTAAAATTTAAAATATGTCTTAAGAATATTTGAAATATGAAATTAATTCTATTTAATGAAAAGAATAAACATATTTAAGTTGATTAAAGAAAAATAATTAGTTAATAAAATATTAAACTACATTTGATAAATTTATATTGTATAAAACCTTAGGTAACATTGGTATACAAATGTCTTAACGATTTGAAATGTATAAA